GTCAAGACGGCTCCTTAGGCCAGAACCCAGAGAAAGGGGAACAAAAAGACAAGGGTGGGGATCATTTGGAATCCACAACCGGGAAGGGGCATTTCGGAACTTATTTTACAAAAATCCCACCAATGTAATAGGAATAAGCAGGGCACACACTTCATAGAGCACAGCCCAAACGCTCAACTGATACTCAGTAAGTAGAAACAGTTCCAGTATGGCCAGGCTGTTGGTGTATAGGGCACAAAGGTGGGTCTAAGTCTGACCTGGGGGGCTAACATGGTCTTCAACTACAAACACCTACTGGCGGTACATAAACCTTGAAAAATGACAGCTAGAGTCTTCAATCCATACAGAAACACCTCAGTGATAAATCGGCATCCAAAATGAGCTTTTCAAGATTGAGGGTCACACAGGGCCCCCTCACAGCAGAGCATAAGGAATCTGGAAAATCCCACGCGGCATCCTCTTCCCGGCGAGCGGCCGGACAGCATCGTAGTCGACGTGTCAACTCACAATGAGCCAGACAGATGCTGTTTAGACAGATTTTCCATTCCATGTATAAACAGCGCCATTAAAATTCCCCGTGGTTCAGTAAAAATCCTAAAATTGTACCATTACGGCTGAATACTCCGCCGGTCACAGGGCAGCCCAGGGTTTACGTTTAGGCTCCGTGTGACAGGTCAGACCCCCCCCAACACGACACACGGTTAACTCCCAGCTGCCTCATGTAGCAGCCTGAAGGGGGTGTTAGCATCACAGGGTCCACCCTTATCGTCCCCCCCCAGCTCCAGGTACTGCAGTCCCCAGGCATCCTCAGCTGTCACAGCACCGAAAACCAGAAACAGATGCACGATTCCAGCCGTTTTCCACAAGCCACTCCCATCATCTGAGAAGTAATCAAAAGGGGGGGGGGGGGACAACTTCAGAGTAGGGTTCCGTTCCCACGGCTGCAATCGTAACACCCCCCGGCCAGGGGGGGCAGCAGCCAGTTCAACAGGTACTGCCCTTCCGTACTTGTGGCTTGTAAGACAAGGTTGGGGGTGGGTAATCTGATACGTGGCTGGTTTCTCACAAGCAGCCACCTCCCAAACCTCAGTGCCGCCGTATTGCCGTAGCCGGCACGGTCTGCTACGCTGGGGAAACAGGCACGATCTAGGAGGCTTGCTGTCATTGGCTACGCACCCCACCCCTTGGTGGCCTCCCAGTCGTCATGGGACTGGCTGCCCTTTTAGCTTCCACCTACGTCTCTCGCTACGTTTCACTCTGAGCTAATCGCACGTGGCGTCCGGGTGTCTGAAAAACGAAGGAGGATCCTACAGAAATCCCTGGGGGGGGGGGGCTGATGAAACTGCAGCCACAAGGGTGGCGAAAGGAGACCGATCCCCCATCCTCTGAAGCACCCTCTAACAGGAGTACCTTTCAGCTGGGATCCCGTCCCGATCCCGAACACCGACAGAGAGAAACGCAGACAGAGGGAGGCAGTAAATATCACCGGAAGATCTGAGCCTCCCTAACAGCAACTGAATGGCATTGGGCCCCAATAAATGCAGGCTGGAGCCACACAGCGGCAGTCGAACATCTGGACACCTTTAAATCAAAAAGCCAGTTTTTTAATTAAAGTTCATTACGAAAACTGACAAGCCTGCAAAAAGGAGACGAGGAACGGAAAAACCCGTTAAGTCCAAATGAGCATCACCTGTCAGCGATTAATGAAGCCCCTGGCTATGTCATAAAACATCCTGAGCGCGGTGACTAATTAACACCAGGCTCTCACTCCGACACAGAGTCTGGAAATAGGACGGCCTTCCCACATCCGGGCGGAGGCGATGGCGTTCTGGTTCTGCATGGAACGTAAACAGCCAAATCAAACTTAATTACAAGACAGAACAAAGGGAACGCCCTTCTGGCCACAGAGGAGAGCTTTCTCACTGTGGAGGCTCCTGTAGGCAGGTGAGCGGCCGTGTCCCTCCAAAGCACTGCGAGAATCATCTATTCACAGCACGACATGAAAGAACAGGCTGCAAAATGTCAGCTTCTGTCAGCTGATGGCTAAGATTAAGCAGGACAGAAGGTGGAGGAAGAAAAGGGAGAAAAACACCAGACAGACAGGCTGACTAGTCAGCTAGTCTGTGGGATGAGTTCAAATGAAGCAGAAATTAAGAAGATGGGCACCATTTTAACAGACGTCATATATGTAATTAGCCAGGCACTGTGGAGGGAGTCCTACTGGGTTAAGCAATTTTAAGGAACCACCAGCCATCTTAACAGTTAAATCGAAAGAATAAAGAATAGAACAAACAGAAAAGAACTCCTAAAATAGCCATATTCCAGAAACCACTTCACAGCAGGAAAGTAAATAAACCATCATCAATCGCACATGCAAGCACCCCGGCTAGCTCCGTACATCAGATAAACCCAGCAGCTCCAGAAATACACAGCATCTTCTGAGAGAATCCGAGGGGCCATCTTAATTACTGCCAACGCTTGATCGCGACCGGACCGGGTTCGAATACGTGTGGGAGAGCATGTTCTCATGGCGTCCTTTGAGCGAGACCAAGCACTTCAGAACGCAGATACACAAAACACCCCAGAAAAGGCCGCTAGTCTTGTCGAAACCACAAAACATAAGCGATGCTCTGACCACATTCCTAGAAACCAACTTCAAGAACCATAACATCATAGGTTCAAATCTCAGGAGAAAACAGGAACATGAGCCTAAAGAGGGCGAAGCCATCAAACCTGAAGGAATTCAGCACAAATAAAGTTGCATGGATAGGTGTATTAAAATTAACTGCAAGCAAAACTATTTTTAAAGTGGGCACACCCTGCAATAACAACACAATACGTTAATGCTAAGGTTATATGCGATTAGACAGTCATTTTATACGTTAGGAGGGGAACCAGCAGTCCAGCAATACAGAAACTGCCTCAGTTTAATGGTGGTGAAGGATTTTAATGGTGCATTCGTTATTTTCAATGAAGGAAATTATATTTTACAATAGGACAGGTAAAATACCACTTCAATACATCCACCTTCAAGGAAAACACTTTTAAGTTGACACTTGTTACTTTTAATTGCAAACTCAAGCATTGCCGATAATCATATTTGAACAGCAGCGAGATCCTACTAATTTCATTTTTTAAATGACTCCATTAAAACGAAAAGGTCACTATAAACGTCAGAAACTAGTATTCATCATAAAACCAAGTAATAAAGGCGTTTTCACGTCCCCGTCCAAGAACTGCAAATGGCCACATTAAAACACGTTAGCCATGTAATACTTAACCGTTTTAACTCCCACGAACCGTCTTACATTCGTCACAGACCAACCCAACAACTTTTTTTAATCTACTCACAGGACCGTCCCCACCCAATTAAGGCCCTAATGGCGCTGAAAAAGTCAGCAAATTACTTGGCAGTTTGATAGAAGGTATTAAGGTACATGGAAAGCCCCAGGAAAGGCCGGAGAGCTGCAGGCCGACCCAGGGGGGGCAGCCCCCCCATTACCAATTACCAATACCAAATGAAGGACTTAATTCAATTCAATTTTATTTGTATAGTGCTTTTAACAACAGTCATTGTTCCAAAGCACATAACCGGCCCGAACCCCACCAAGCAAGCCTGAGTCGATAGTGGCAAGGAAAAACTCCCTCAAGCAGGAAGAAACCTTGAGAGGAACTTAGACTCAGAAGGGAACCCCATCCTCCTCTATGTGACTGGGCCAAATGGTGCCCAAAAAGACAGATGGGTATTCAGGTAACCACCCCCAGTGCGGGACAGGTCACCCTGTATTTAGTATTTACCAAAAAGCAACCGAACCGTGCGTCCCCCCCTTGATGTAGATACATTTAAGGACAAACTTTAATTACATTTTTATAAAAAGAAAAGGATGAACGTCATCATATCCCCCCCACAGCGGACAGAAAATTAAACGTGTAGAAAAGATCTGCGAGGTTACCAGCAGCCATGCTCTTCGGCACTGAAGTCTTGTACTTAAGTACTTAAAGATCAAGTAATACATAAAGACATACTCCACAGACCAGCAGCAAAACACCGTTCAGGACAGTCCGCTTGGAATCAATAAAGTAGAAGCTTATAGTACCTGTCCACCGAGTGGCAGCTAGTTACGGTTTAAAGTTTACTGACGGATATTTAGGAGAAAAAAACAAAAGCTGGAGCGGTTCTGAAACAGCAAAGTCAGCGGTGTAACAAAGTGCCTGCTGGCGGATTAACGAGGGCTGTTAGTGCCCGGGGAAAGCGGCGTTAAACTTGGCCACTCGGGGGAGGGGGTTGGCAGGGTAAACAAGCCGAGGATACCGGGCTAATTATACCACCGACATAACTAGCTAGTTAACTTCCCACCGTGAGCGTCCCCAAAGCACCACGTGCGGGAGAAACTCGGGGTGCGCCACGGTACCAGCACGGATAGAGGCGGCATACACACCGAAAATGCTCTGAAAGCTGGAGAAAAGCCCGAGAAAACAAGTTTTTAAAAGTCACTGAGCTGGAAACGGCGCCGCCGTCTCGGGAGCCACAGCGCCACCCGCGACAGCCCGGAGCGGCCGGACGCGCTCCCCTCAAACAGAAACCAGTCCGTGAAAAACGCACCGAACACCCCGTCCGACACCCCCGCCGATCAGCCCACCTAAAACACCCAGAAGCGCCCCAGGGGGGCGCCTGCCTGCCAACGCGGCATTTCAGCCAAAGCGCCCCGTCGGCGGGGGTCCGGGTCAGCGTGACGCGCCCGAGGCGGTCGGCGCTGCCGTATGCCCGCGGCAGCCGATCGATGGAAGCCGAACAAAGGGGATCAATCTCCGATCGGCCAGGAGCGCCGCTTTTAATCAATGCAGGAGGAGGATAGGGGCTCCGAGAGCAGCCTTAAGCGTCAGTGTGCGGGGGACACCGGAGTCCGACGGTTAAGCGAACGCTGTGCGCGACCACCTTCCCCACAACTGCCCCGAAGAAAACACGGCAAGGCATTAGGGAGGGAGGGAAAAGGGCTGACCTGCAGCTGCTGTAAATCAAAGCGCTTCCAATATTGAAACATCGATCCCGCACTGGCCGCCATCTTGAGACATATTGAGACGAAGTGAGAGGCCGACAGAGAGAGAGCGAGGGGCTGGAGTTCGGGGAAGCGGCGGGGATGGCACAAAACGCGGAGCGGAGCGATCGAACAGGGCCTTCGCTTATTGAACATCGGCACGGAATGGAGTTATCGAACAGCAAGCGGCCGTATCGAACAGGGCCGCGGAACGGAGTTATCGAACGGGAAACGGCGCTTTTCTGACCGGTAAAATGTGAACTGGATCATGGGTGGATCGAGAGCCCGGCGCTGTGTGGGAAGGCACGAAGCCGAAACTGCCATTTCTATTTATGTCAGAGGCACACGTTTTTAACAGTGTTATTTAAATGCCAAGGTTTTAATTTCTAATAATTTGATTAAAATCAATTAACTTATCGTAAGTATACTCTTTTATATCTACTGTTCATTTCATAGTGTATATAAAATAGATTTCGCCCAATAAAATCTGTAAAAAAAAAAACATGTTTTCTTCTTTCAGTACCGAAATCATGTCTGATATATTTTTGACTGCTTTTTAAAAAAAAACAAAACACTTTTTTTCCTGTATCTCCTGATCAGGGTTTCGGGACCTTTTCTGCTCGATCTACGTTGTAATCCGTCTGCGGACTTGAACTTGAAAGTGAAAGATGGAGAACAGTGCCCCTTAATGGCCGCATCTGGAAGTACGCCTGCCACCCACCACCGCGCAGTTTGGTGGCCGCCTCAGTCCACACTCATTACTAACTCCTTATTCCCCCCAGGACCGACTCACATGAACTATACTACGTTTGTTCAAAAAGCTAACTATTTTAACCTACGCCAGTCAAAAAAAATAGATTTCATTTTCAAAATAAGTAGCTCTCATCACTACGTTTTTTCCCCCAACATACAATACAGCCATAAATACTAACCGTTTCACTTCCTCGAACAATTGTATTAGTTTATTCCTTAAACTTATTAGGGTACATCTTTGAGCAGAACATATAACGACTAGCTTACTATTTTCAAACATGCCCCATACTCGTTATTTTGGATTGCTGACAATGCAAGTAATGGTACTGTACGTTTAAACTGAATTGCATTTACACATAGCCTGTAGTTGGCTGTAATTAAATACAAGAAAAATGGCTTCTGGGTCGTAAAGCGCCACTAAAAGTCAAATTTACCTCAGCCAAGTTGTATTTTTATTAATGTCGTTCTGTCTTGCTATGCTTTTTACAGGCTGAGAACTAAGCTACGTATTAAATTACCAAAAAAAAGAGAGTTCTGCTTGCTTTGTTTTTTAACCACAGCCTAGTTAAAAGGAACCAATTCTGGTGTTTTTAATCATCTCCTAATGAATCATACAAAATGAAATGATTTAAAGCCCACCCTGAATTTCACTTAAAACTACAGAATATCTTATATCTTATGAGATTAAAGGATTCGAATTAGGCACGTTTTTTCAATATTTAATGAAATCACACATTCGCTTGAGTCATCTGTAGGAAAACCACTAAGCACAAATAGTAAATAATTGTAGCCTATAACTGGTTAGAATTTGGCCAAAAATAACCAGAGTTTAAAATGCATGGAATATCTGAGCCACTGTACTGGAGAGTACTTAAAATGCGCAGCCACACTCGATATTAAAGCAGACCTGTCTGCGAGGGACTTAATGTGCAATGCTGGTGAGTGAGGAAATTTGTGCATGTGACTAAACCAGAAATACTGGACCACTTTCTAGTCCAAATAAGTATTGTTAAGAAGCGCCGTTTCGGGATATATATCAACAGGTGTGTGCTTTCCTGGCCGTATCACTTACACAAAGAGACAGTAGCTTTTCATAGACGGAAAAGACAAAAGACTCACACAAATACACAGACACACGCGAAGCATTGTTCTTTTTATGAATTTTCCAAAAGAAGCATTTCAGGCTGTAGTGTTTTGTATTTGCCAGGATGAAAACTTGCATTTTTTTTGGGTGTTTTTGTAGATAATTCCCGTAACATAGGCTACACAACTTAAAAAGCCAGGAAGCCAAATCAGCATATATCTATGGAATATAATGTGATAATACATGGTCAGTATCGGTTAAGTCTTCCACTGATCTTATTTCTGTATGTCCTGAGGCAAAGCGTGGTGTAAAATGTGGCAGCCCTGCAGGCGAGTTTTTAAAGATTTAATCATATCTTCTTTTGCAGATTAAAAGAAAAAATCAGAGGAATGCAAGTAGGTCTTGCCTTAGTGTTCTTCCTTCCACCCACGTCAATATGGCTGATTTAATACTTTTCCATTATCCTATTCATCACAGGGACCCCCATCAGGAAAATATATAGTGGGGCCCCCTGAAGTTCAGAGCCCTGATTCTCCTGCTTGGCTGGCTGCTCTAGACAGCAGATCTCGTCCAGTCGGCTATGATGGAGGCCGTCGTTCAGTTATCTGACAAGGTTATATGAGTTTTGTTTCCCTGGACTAAGAGCCAGAGATGATGGGCCTGGCTGAGCAGACACACCCCCTTGTGACGGACCTTCCCCAGCTGCCAGCTGCCATTTGGTGTGGACCCTGCCCCCACACATGGCAAACACAGCGGATCTTTTTTGAGCTCATAATGAGATTTATGATGTCGGTCGCCTGCTCACATGCTCAAACCACACATGACAGTGCCGATATGAAAGCAGCGAAAGGCTCTTCCCACTTGTTGGGCCTGTCTACTTTAGTGGTGCAGTAGCCTGTCAATCATCAGTGGACTGACAATCAGATGAGTGGATAGCGGTGGGGGTGGGTCTGCAGCTGTGTCACCCACTTACTTAGGTGTGCTTTTGTGTGCGATGACACCACACTTTTCTACCCTTATATGTATGTCAGGCAGGAGGTGGCGCAGTGGTTAAGGAACTGAGCTTGGAGCCAAGCTGAGGCCAGTTTAAGAGCCAGCAATGTGGCCCCTAAATCAAACCGAAAGGAACGGAGCCCCCCCC